TTCCTTTTTTGGAATCTGGACAAACAGCCATCCCTCTTCTCTAGGTGACAGGGGCTCATGACCCCCCAGGGCAGCCCCTCTGTGGCCGACCCTTGGCACTCAGTCCAAAGCAAGACCGCCGTGCGGTGGAGCGTGGGCCTCCCACGTGCCCTTGCTGGGTTCCTGAGCCTCGGGAACGAGGCCGAGCCTCGCGGGCCACCTCTGCTCCCCCTGAGATGTTGGGCGGGTTAACCCCGCAGCTGCACGTCCATCGCACATCTAGAGACCACACACTCCTCGTCGCAGATGCACTTCTGGGAGCCAGACTCATGAGTCTGCCCTCCTGGTGACAATCACCTGCATCATCTTCCTTCTAAATATCTGAGCTTGTCTTGTGATGTTAGAATTTTTTGGAAGAAATATGACTTTATTAATTCGAAGAAAATGTGAACAATTTCAAGATGTCACAAATCAGATCCTGAAATACGTCAAAACGCCCCCAGTCTCTTAGGAACGTGTGCGCCTACTTTAAGCTGTTCATTTCCTTTACGTCTTGTTTTGAGACGTTTCCATGTGACTTAAAGGGCTTTAGCTCTGCTGTCTGTCGTCCATGCACGCGTCCCCAGCGCCTGGAAGAGAGATGGCCGAGCTTCTAGCAATCAGCCTCCGCCGTGCACCAGAGTCGGGAAGCCGCGATGGGGCTCACAGCGGACGCAGCTCGGAAGACGGGAACCATCAGATCAGGCCGAACCCCGCACGAGGGGTTAACATCGGAGAAACAGACACCGTCAGCTTTTAGAAAGTACCTGCACTTGCCCCTTTGTCCCCATTTTCACTTCCCGAGACCAGCCCCCGATCGACTAGCGCCGTACCTCCATCAAGGGCAGCTTCTGGACGCAGATGGGTTTGGGAGAAGTCTGGGGGGACGTGGGGGTCCTGGGCTAGAGAACCCACCGGATGGACCTCAGCCAACTTCAAGGTGAGGGAGCACCACCGTGTGGGTCTCTAGGCCCCTGGAGCACCAAGGAAACCCCAGGGCTGCTGACAAGACAGAGAAGCGCCTGGGGTGCCGTGGGTGGGCCCCCATGGCCAGGTTCCCATTGGGGACCCGAGAGCAACACCTCAGGTGGGCAGAAAAAAAGAGCCAGCGCTGTGGCGGTGGGCTCGCAGGCCCACCCCCCTGAACCTATGATACCCTCCCCACCCCCTGGGTCGCCAGAGCTCCCCCGCTGGGGCAGACCCCCACCCATGAGTGAGAAGGACGGACATCCAGCACGAGCAGAGGGCAATCCCTTCACGTCTGAGTGGTCACCTTCACAAACTGCCCAAGTGCGAGTCAAATTCCCGTGTGTTGGCCCAATCCAGCACGTAGATGGCGTGATGCCGACAGGGACACGGTTTCTGTTAGTAAGACGGGGAGCTTGGGGACAGTGACGGGCTGGCAGGGAAGTCAGGTGTCCTGCCCACTTTGTGCAGACCTCCAAGTGCAGAAATGTGGGGCGAGCGGGGCACAGTGAACACATCGGTCTGGAGGTCTAAATTCGGGGTCACCATCCTATGAAGAAGGACAAAGCCAGGGTCTGGATGATCCCTCACGAGGCAGTACAGGGTGAATGAGAAGATTGTGCCCAGTGGGGGGCAGCTGGAGACCCAGGGTCACAGCAGGGCCCTCCACACCACCAGGATTCCACAAACCAGGCTGGGCCGGCCAGAGGACAAGGAGCCTCAGTGCAGAAAGGGGCTCTGGCTGCCGCAGCCACGGGTCAGACGGCACCGGCGCAGAACCTCCGCGTCCTGATGGGGCTGATGGGAGCGGGGTGAGGTGCCGGGCCGGGAAAAGCGCATGGAGGTTGGTGGGTTTGGCGGCGAAGGGCTCTGGGTCAGAGGTCCTATCTGGTGTCAGCAATACGGGAAACACCCAGTGTGTTTGCTGACAGTAACGAGCCAGACGACAAGGACCAGGAAGCAGCAAGGGCTGGACGGGCGCCCTCCACGCCGGGAAGTCCCACACGCTCACTCCGGCTGTGGTTGAGGTGCAGGAGGGCGCAGGGCTCTGCCCCAGGCCGTGCGCGTCAGGACCACAGACCAAGGGTGGCGGGTGTGGAAGGAGGAAGGAGGAGAGTTTTAAAGGAGGTGTCCTGGGCAGGTCCAGGCAAGTGAGCACCCCTGGACATGACCGTCTGGAGGTGCCGAGTGCTCGCTGTGGCCTGCGGTGGTGAGTTTGCGGCCCGCCGGCAAGCAGGGGCAGGAAAGCCAGAGAGACGCGCCTGCGACCCAGAAACGGGGGAGGGAGTGTGCGCAGAAGCAGACAGACATTTGCACTAAAGCATGAGGTTCCTGACAACACGCGCGTTCCCCTGTGTGTAGACGGACGGGACGGCGGAATGAATGGAAGAGGCGGTGATTCTGCTGGAGGCCCACAGAGGTGGGGGTGAGCACATGGTCGCTCAAGAGAGAAGCGGACTTCAAGGTGGACGAGCTCAAAAGCCTCAGAGCAGGGAGGGCAGGGGGCTGGGACAGAGAGGGGGACGAGGGGATGGTGGCGTGAGGTGCTCCAGACCTAGGAGAGAAGTCATCATGTGGGATGGAGCTGGTTTGCTCCCCTCAGACAAAGCCCAGTGGAGGTGACAGCAGGCTTTGTCTTCAGAGGGGATGGTGAGCCTCACCTCTCAGGGGACCCTGGCTTCCAAGGAAAGGGGAGCTCCATGAGGCAGGTTTGCCTGTCCCGGGCCCGGCTGTGACCGGTCCTTATACAGTGCCTGATGCACAGGAGGGCCCAGCGCAGATCTGTAGGATGACGCGTGGTGTGGTGAACGGAGCGGGGCAGGAGCCACTCGCTGTAGCACATGGACCCTGGACACAGCACAGCCCCACAGCACCACACAGCACCACACAGCACCACACAGCACCACACAACACCAAGACCAAAGGGAAGGATGGGTCATCTCCATCTTCCAAAACCAACAGAGACATGAGGACGTGACATGAGGGGGCTATTATGGCTGCTCTCAGAGTCCGCGTCCTCACACAACCCAGGTGTGGGGCAGGTGTGGCGTGGGCTCGTGTGTCCACACGAGGACCACGCGCACCGCTGGTGGGGGGCGCAGAACCTGGGAGAGCGGCTCGTCGAGGAGCAGACATCCGGACGGTGCCCCAGACGGCTGTGAGGACCACCAGCGGGCCCACGCCCCTCCACCTTCCAGGCGACCCAGCGAGGTGGAGACTACGGACACCTGGTCTGGCAACAGAGGGGAGATCGCAGAAGGTGACGTACAGGGAGGGGAGAACATCTCTTCCCCGGGCTGAAGCAGCACCACGAGGACGGACAGGAGGACAGACAGGAAGACCAGGCCCTCGGTTCCCTCACAGACGGGCAAGTCACGGAGGCGGAGCCATCAAACAGGTGAGCCGCCCAGGGGAGGTGGGGACCGACGACCGATGGAGTGGGGTTTGGCCAAGAGCCTGGGGGGAGGGGGAGTGGGTCGAGGACCCTCGGAGCCGGAGCAACCCCTCCTCCACGGGCTACAGCGCTGGCTGCACTGACGACCGCGTTTGCTCTCATGCTGTCCAGCAGCCAGCCTGTAGGCTCAGTCCATGCCTGTCCCCGCTTTCCTGAAACTGCCCGAGGCTGTGTTTCCCTCAGGAAGAGGAGCTCTGGGATCTCCGCGGGCCGACCCCACAGCAGAGTCTGCCTGGCCCACATGGCCATCCCCCCTCCCCCCGGGGCAGCACAGCCGGCCCCCACGAAGCCCACGGGCCCTCGTGCAGAGAGGACTCATGGCCCCAGAGCTTTCTTGGCTGGCCACAGTGCAGATGCTCTCCCTGGTCACCTCCTGGGGAAACAACGGGCACCGAAAGGGGTTCCCACCCGACAAGAATATGGTGGGAAAGGAACGAGAGGCTTCACGCCTTCACTGCCCCTGAGACAGGCAGCACATCCAGAAACTTCCATTACGATTCCAACCCTCTATCCCTTCAGGGCCCTTCCTGCCACCGGCCACTGTTCCTTCCCCAGGCTTCGGGGGTCTCCGGCCGCCCCCGCTCACTCCCTGCCGAGACCACTGCCGGCTGTGGCGGGGCTGAGAGCGGGACGGACTCACTGGACGCGCGCTCTGTGCTCCCGGCCATGGCCTGCAGGCAGGAGTGGGTCTCGGTCCCGCGAGCCTTTGCTGACAGGTTTCGTCCAGTGCCCCCTGCCCTCCGCCCGACGGTCCCCGGAACACGAGTGCGCGACTTGGGCCGCTTTCCCTTGAGACTGTTCCTGCCTGCCGGCCGCTCGAGCAGCTCAGGAGCCCGTCTGCGGGAACAGGCAGTTAGACACGCTCTTCCTTCAAGACCCAGACCTCCCGGCTGCCGGGGGGTCCCCGAGAGAGCGGCTCGGCCCTGAGGGGCTCTGTGGAGGGCGTCCCTCTGGGAGTGAGGAGGACTCACGAGGAAGCTGTCCCGCACCAGCTAATCATCCGGAACGGCGAGGGCCGTGACACTGAAACTCGACCACAGCACGGGGCGTCGGGGTCTGCATGGCCTCACGCGGCCACGTACCCCCGCCGTGCAGTCACGTGCGCTGTTCTGCCTGTGGTTCGCGAAACTGCCCCTAGATGGGCCACGCAGGCACCGGGGGTGACCACCAGCTTTAGTGGCGCATGGAGGGCCTGGTCACGTGCCTCTCTCGACACCGACACAGCCGCAGGCGGGCACAGCCGCCACCTCACGAGGTCCCGTCACAGAGCGTCCCCGCGTGCCTGGCACGCCAACCCAAACGGCGTCCTGTGAGGCCCCAAGGACAGGGCGTCCCGGGGGGGCTCGTGCCACACGCTCAGCAGTTATGTCACCTCTGGGGAGGGAAGCTCGTGTCCCCCGCACGGCAATGTTTCCTGAACCAGGACGGCCGTTCTCAGAGACATGTGGGACTCCGACTGCAGAGGCAGTGCATACCAGCGTCGCGTCCCGTGGCCCGTCCACGGGCCTGCCCCGCCCCTGCCAGCCGCGCACGCCTCGGAGGCAGCCGCCCCGGTACTCACCGACCCGCTCCCAGCCCTCACGATCTTCAGTCCAGACGCCTGTTCCAGCTCGTCCTTGCCGTCAACTGTGGGGAAGAGAAGCACAGGGTCAGCGGGCCCTTCTCCGGACTCCCTCGGCCTCCTCCACCGAGAGACGCCCCATGGAGTCAGCGTGTGGCCGGCCTGGTTCAGCGCTGGGCCATGAGCAGCCTGCAGCTGGGCCCCGAGCGCCAGCCCACGCTGCCCACCAGGGGCGATGCACGGGCCCGGCCTTCCTGAGGCCTTCGGCTTCTACAACCGTCACCCTGGGAGCCCGACACAACCGTCGCGAAAACCACACGAGACATCGCACACAGACGTCTCTGCAGACATAGGGTCATTTTCAAGTGCTCTGCTGGTCACCCGGTGCGTCCTCGCTGGGAAACACGTTCCACTAACTGGCGTCCCGAGCTCACGAGGGGACCCTGGAGGGCGCGCCTGGCTGGGGGCTGTCCTCGTCCTGTCCTCCCTGTTCCTGACCTACCATGACGCAGACGGGCAGAGGACGAGCTGCCCCGCCAGACAAGGAGGCGCGAGCTCTAGAAACAATCAGCGGGGGGAAGTGAACACTCAGGATCCCGACGCCAGCACCGCAAGCCCCCGGCCCCGACCTTGTCGGGAAGACCTTGCGTCACAAAGCAATTGGTCTGGGCTCACGAATCTGTAGAAATGGTCTTTTGGACAGAGCCCACGTCATTTTGGAAATGAACAACCGAGAGAAGCAGACTTGACTGCAGAGCGTGAGCGTGAGGAGCGCCCAGCCACCGTGGCTGATGCCGACGCCAACAAGAGATCGATCACTTCCCCTTGTCGCGTCCGCCCCGTTAACCTGGTAGTGGGGCTCTCTCTGGTGCAGGGGTGGGGTGAGATGCTGTTACGCCCACCTGCCCCTCCTGGGGGCCTTCCATTGTCCTGTAGGAAGTCTCCCCTTGGACAAACGCACGTTCCTTTTATAGGCAGGTGGTTATCCCCACACTGGGAGGCAGAGGCCCGCACAGCCCCATCTGGTTCTGAGCCTCACGGGGCCGTGCAGGAGCAGGGGGAGGGCAGGGCGAAGCGGCGGCCCAAACAGAAACACTGACTGGAGGAGGACAGTCTTCAAGGGACAGAGTACCACGTGATCGATTCCAATGTCCTTCTGCGAACAGAGGAAATGTCTTGCCGAATGGCGAGCTACTTTTGGGGGGATAATAGCGAACTCTCGGATAGGCTGAGGGACAGGAAGCGCATGGAGGTGGAGTTTAGAAAGTTCTCCGTTTACTGCCCTGAGCGAGGACAGACACTCCAGACAGCCCGGCCACGGCGGCGCAGACCGCGCAGTCCCAGAGTCTGCAAACCTCCTGTGGGGGCGGGAGCCCAGGGCTCTCCAGCCGCCCTGCAGTGAGGATGTTGCCAAGACCCTCCTTAAGGAAACCATCCCAGCTTGTGCCACCGGAGCATCCTGCAGGAGGCAGATGGCCAGGGATGGACCCGCAGGCCCGTGTCCCCCCCATGAGCCGGAGGCCGAATGCTGGTGTTTTCTGCCCAAACGCCTGCTCACTCCCCGGTCTGCAGGGGAAGGCCGGACCCTCCCACAGAGCAGAAGCCCTCCCTTGTGTCTCTGGCGGACACGCGCAGCCAAGCTGACCCATCCTACAGGCCCAGGCGCCTCGGAGCCCCAGGCCCTCGGGCAGGCCCTTTCCCTGCGCCGGAAACACACTGCTGACCCAGCTGGCGGAAGAGGCACAGAGCCCCTCCCGGGGCTGCCCGCCGGCGTCATGCTCGTCTTCCGGCCGCGCCGTGTGGGCTCACCACCTGCCCAGGAACCGTCACACTGAGTGGACTGACACGGCTTCTGCTGGCTTTGGGGCGAACACGAGCGAGGTGCTAGTGACCGGGTCAGTCTGCATCGGTGCCACCATGTCCGCGAACCCCCAGGCTGAGCCTCATTTGCTCTGCGAGCCACGCGGATGCCCCGTCCTCTCCGCACGACGTCCGCCCTCTGCTGCTTCCCTGGGGTCCTCTGCTCTATCCACAGTGCCTCCCAGTGTGACTCGACGTCCCTTAGCGGAGGGAAAACCGCTCCTTCCTGGTCTCTCTGGAGCTTCAAATCAGAAAACGCACAGGTGGACCCAGAAGTCTGCATTTCCTAAAAACCTGCTTCTGTCCCCCATCCCCAGCTCCTTCTCAGGATTAGCCAGATTGAAGAGTCGTCGAAGAGAGGATTAGCGTCTGTCCAGTTCGTCTGTCTGTCCTCCCCGTGCTCTCTGCGTGCGACTGGGCGGCGTGCCAGCTGTGTGGCGGCCGGCAAGTGGGGCAGCCCTGGTGACGGACACACTGTTGGGGACCTCCCACGAGGCAGGATGCGGCCCCACATGTCCCAGGTCCACCGAGAGGGGCTCTGGTCGTGCCCACACTGCTCCTGGTGTGGCCCAGTGGGATCACGGTGACGGGGGACCTTGGGAAAGTCTGGGAGGTCTCTGAGCATGCCTCACCAGCCGTGTACTCGTGATGGACCAGAGAGGCAGGCGGCCCGCCGATATCACCTCAGGATGTCATGTCTGTCCTGTGTGAGTTCACTTGCGACAACCGGCCCGTCCCGCCGCTCTCCAGCTCCTTCAGCCAGAGGCAGGCCGGCCACCCCCCATACGCAGGCCTCCGACCGTCTTCCACGCGCATGGCTGTGCACACGCAACGAGGACGGACCGAGGCACCGTCCGTGGTTGGACCATGCTTCAGAGCGGTATCAACACTCGCGACCTGCACCCGCTGCCCTCGTTCAAGAAGACGGGACTCCGCCCCCAGATGCTTCTCTGTCCACATTTCCTCGTTTCCCATGTGAGCGGCCGGGGTCTTGCTGACGCCGCCCCAGCTCCAGGGTCCCCCTCAATGCTACCGTGGGCCATGGTGCTTCGGAGAGAGCCCGGAGCCGTGGGTCCTGCTCGTGAGAACCCGCCGGAGACCTACGGCAGCGCCGCGTCCCAGAAGCCCTACCTGCAGCTCTTCGAGGAGTGTCGTGGGGGGGTTCCTGCCCCGTCCGCAGCCGCTGTGGCAGCTGAGGCCGTGGTGCCTGTGGCCTGTGCTCTTCTGTCCCTTCTCAGGCTTGAGGTCACGTCCTCTCTGTTTTGTTGTCGTTACTGGTGGAAACGATGGAAAACCGAGCCCTGCGCAGCCCCATGTGAGTCCGCATGGGGACGGCCCTTCCTTGCTTTGTTTGCTCACGGGGGCCCAGCGCGAGGGCAGAGCCAGTCTTCAGGCCCCTGGACCCTCCTCCACGCCATCCTGGGGCGCACACGTTCTCCCAGATTCGCTCCAGGGGGCCCCGGCCACGTACACTTCCTTTCTGAATCCCCTCCATGGGGCAGACGGCACCAGGAAGATCCCCGGCCTCGCCCGGCCCCCGTACGGCTGCCCCCAGGCCCACGGGCCGTCTGTTTGGCTGCCACGCCGTTCACGCCACACCACTGTCTGCGTGGAGGCCACCTCCTGGGAATGCTGTGCTGACGCCGCCATGATTTCCAGGCTTGGGCTAAAAGGCATTTTAAAGAGAAGAAAAGCTTTGCTCCTACCAGGTGCTCTGTCGAACGTCTGCCGCGGGACATTTCGACGGACCAGTGCGGACGCGGAGCTGGTAGGGCCGGGAGGCAGAGACCCTGGGAGAAGCCGCTTTAATAACACTGAGAACGGTGTATAAAGCCCATTTTTATCTTCACTGGAGACAAAAAGGGTTTCCAATCACAAAAAAGAAGTCCTTTAAAATTAAATTCACTAGATGAGGATATGCAAATGACCTGGAGAAGCAGAACCCTACAATGTTCCCAAAATTCTACAATAGCCTATTTAATTAGTGTTTTCATTTATCAGAATAATTCCTGGCACTGGACAATTTATGCAGGATTCCCTGTAATTAAGCACAAGGCTTCTGTGGGGGTGAATTTGCCTCTCTCTCTGGCCCTGTCACTTTAACTGGAAGGGTGTGCACAGTCTCTTCTGTGATCTAAATGGGGCCCCGACAGCAAGTGGCCGAGCTCCATTAGCAGGAACACGGGGAGGGAACGGGGAGCGGGGGCAGGTGAGGCGGGTGGGGACGCCGCCCCCGGTTTGGGGAGCCCCACAGCCCTGCGGGAGGAGCCCGGCTGCTGGCAGAGCTGGAACCACTATTCCTGGGGCTCAGATCTGCACCTCACCCACACTCTGCTGCACAGTTATACCCAGGGGGGCGTCCGTGAGAGGGAGAGAACCCTCCAGGTCATTCGGGGACCTCAGAGTGGGCCTGCTGGGCCCCTTCACCTGGGTCAGCCCCCAAAAGCAGCACAGCTGGGCAGTCGCTGTGTACTTTCCTTTGGGGTGACTCCCTGCTTGGAACCCGCCCGGCGGGAGCCCATGCCAGGGAGGGAGGGGAGCGGGTCTGTCCTGTGCAGCAGGTGCCACGGCCCCTGGCCCTGCTGCCTTGTCCACACCCTCCTTTCCTTGGTGGGGGCAGAGAAGTGTTACGGGGTCAGGGGCCCCTGAGCCACCCAGTCCCGCCCTAGAAATAACACTGCGCCCGGACTGCTGGGGCAGAGCCTGTTCTTAGGCAGGAATTAGAAGGAAATGGGAACCGTCTCTGCTCATTCCTTCTTTCCTCACGCAGGCCTTTTCTAAGAAGCAGCCAGAGGCTGGGGCAGCAGCCGTGGGCCTGACCCCTCTCCTGCCGCAGGGTGCCACTGAGCGCCCGCTTCTATAAGCCACTCTCCACGTGGTAACAGGTATTTGGGGAGAAAGTAGGAGACCAAGCTGGACACAACCAAACACACGTACACACACCTGCTGGCCTTCTCAGAGCCTTCAACGTGCTGTGTGCCTGGTGGCGTCTGGCACTGGGGGTGTCGCCGACAGGCTGGGGACAGCGCAGACCATGGGGAAGGGCCAGCTGGTGAGGACGTCCCTGTGGGGGGCACTCACGGTGCCCCCCTTATCCCTAGGAGCATAAGACTCTCAGAGCGACGGAGCTGCGGCTTCCCGTGACGGGTCGGGAGCCCCGGCCGGAAGCTGACAGGTGGTCCGAGGAACCCCGTCAATATGGGGA